CACAAAATGCGGCGAAAAGTCCTACACGACGGTAATAATGTGATTAAGGTGTTTACATGTCTATACTGCACTTCAATAATGCGACTGAAATAGGAATACTCCACATGTCTTAATTCGATTAGTGTTTACTTCGATTATGACTTTAGCCGGATTATGGTAATCAAAAATCTCTGTTTATTTACATGGTAGATCCTTAATCAGAGTATTGTCTTAATCGTATTAAAATCTGAGTATTGTTTGGGACAACACATCATCTTCCCTTATTCTGAACACAGGAGCTCCGCAAGGATGCATGCTCAGTCCAGCACTCTTTACTCTCTTCACACACGACTGCACCTCTATCCACGCCTCCAACACTATTGTGAAATTCGCCGACGATACCACCGTAGTGGGTCTCATATCGAACAATGATGAGATACATGGAGGCAAGGCTGGGCTTAAAATTGATGTTTGTTTCTGATGTTAAACCTAAGCTATGTTGTAAATAGTTGTGAAAACAACTGGTACAGAAACTCTACAATTTGGGCCTGTCCACCTCATTGTGCTTATGGATCAGAGACTTTCTAACCAACAGGCCACAAGTAGTAAGAATAGGGGACAACACATCGTCTTCCCTTACTCTGAACACAGGAGCTCCGCAAGGATGCGTGCTCAGTCCAGCACTCTTTACTCTCTTCACACACGACTGCACCTCTATCCACGCCTCCAACACTATTGTGAAATTCGCCGACGATACCACCGTAGTGGGTCTCATATCGAACAATGATGAGACTTTCTACAGGGAGGAAATCCATCACCTGGACCTGTGGTGTTCAGCAAACAATCTGGTTTTTAACACCAATAAGACCAAAGAGGTTATTGTGGACTTCAGAAGGTCCGGAAGGACAGCACATGCACCACTGCTCATACAGGGGGTAGAAGTGGGGCGTGTGGAAAACATCAAGTTACTGGGTATAAACATTTCAGCGGACCTCACTTGGGCCCTGAACACCTCCCACCTGGTTAGGAAAGCTCAACAAAGACTTTTCTTCCTCAGGAAGTTGAAGCAGGCTGGACTCTCCTCTCGGCTGCTGATACATTTCTATATGAGCGCCATAGAAAGCATTCTATGCTATTGTGTAACTGTGTGGTATGCCAGCTGCACAGCACAGGACAGGAAGGACTTGGCCCGGGTGGTTAAGACTGCACAGAGGATTGTTGGGGATCCACTTCCAGATCTGGACTTGGTCTATGCAGAACGCCTCCAGAAGAAGGCCAGGAACATTGCTGCAGATCCCACCCACCCGGGTCATGGACTGTTTGACCCCCTGCCCTCAGGGCAGAGGTACTGAGAAACAGCTTCTTTCCAAGAGCTGTGACCTCTATTACACCCTTTGCACTCACACCCTCAAGCTAATGACATAATCTACACATTTTGTGGTAACTGTTGTTTGTTATTTATTGTTGGTTGATTTAAGTTGTTGTTCTTATTTTGTTTAGTTGGTAACTGAGACTTACCAGACAGAATTTTGTTGTACCTATGTACAATGACAATAAAGTAAATTTAATCTATCCACGCCTCCAACACTATTGTGAAATTTGCAGAGGATACCACCGTAGTGGGCCTCATATCGAACAATGATGAGATTTTCTACAGGGAGGAAATCCTTCACGTGGACCTGTGGTGTTCAGCAAACAATCTGGTT